TTTTAAAAATCTTTTGATTTGAACTGATTATTTTGTGGTATTGGATTTTGTCTTGGATCATACATGTAAACAGTAAACAGCTAACCATTTATCATAGGATGAATCTGGGTCATTGGGGTGATATTTGAGCAGACCGCCCCGGGTGACGTTTACTCTAGCTATGCCACTGGTCATATCACACTGAAATATTAGTTCTTGTCTGATCATTGATGTTAAACAACATTGAGCCTGGTCAATATCTAGATGGGTGACCACTTGGGTATGTGAGGTGCTGTAGGCTTGGATGTACAGATGGTGTGATGGACAGCAAAATGGAAGGAGAAATCAGTCAGCCAAGTTTGAATTCCAGTTGAGTTCATTACATTCACTTACGTGCAAATACTTTTGGGAAAGGCATGGATCAATCTTTTTCCAAACAGTTGACCATAGTGTGCAAAAATTAGTTGGCAGCCCACATATGGAAAAGAAACGGGGAAGGTAGTACCTGTCCAATAGGTTCATTAGGCAAAACAAATTCACACTTCTTGTCTTGATTTCAAATACGCCACTCACTGTCCAAAACGAAAAATGAACTCTCATTAAATGAGCATACCATGTTTTTGTGCACCTGACCCAGCCAGCACTTGGCATATGAGCACCCAAAACTGGCCAATAAAAATGGCTACAAGCAACACCACTACTTCCATCTGCACAAAGTGCTGTTAGATTCACTGTCTGTCTGAAGCTCGTCAAATCGCCATCTCTACACTCCCTTGCAAAACATAGACGGGACTCTGGCTCTTTTGAGTCACCAAGGTAAGTCACCACTACAGTAGTCTTAAGCCATTTTTAACAATTGTCATGTGCAAAAATTGCTTGGAAGCACAAACAGAAAAAGTGGGGGAAGGTAATACGAGTTCAATAGGTTCACTAGGCAAAACAAATCAACACTTCTCGTCTTGATTTCCAATATGCCACTGTCTGAAATGAAAAACAAACTTCCGTTAAATGAGCATACCATGTTTTTATGCACCTGACCCAGCCAGCATTCAGCAAATGAGCACCCAGTACCAACCAATAAAAATGGCTACAAGCAACGGCATCTCATCCATCAGCACAAAGTGCTGGCTGATTCACTGTCCATCTGAAGCTCGTTGATTTACCGTATCCACGTTCTCTTGCAAAACATACACGTGACTCTGGCCCTTTTGGGTCACTGAGTGTTATGGTAAATTACCCATACACAGATGGACTCTTCCAAGTTACAAATAAAAGCAGGTACTGCTTTTGTCAGAGTTTTTTCCAACAGTCAGCTCTGAAAGCTCAGACTTAACATTCTTGCTCATTTGTATATTATTGTATTACCGACTTTCATTAATATATTTAACACAAATCCACTCTTGTGTCTTTATTCTGGCCCCAACACCGAAGTAAGTCACTGCTACTCATAGAAATTAACAGCAGCCAATTGTATGAATTCTTCTGTCAAGTTAATCACAATTCAAAAAGAGACGTGATCACCTAAACATCACACATGACACTGTTATAGACAAGCGTATGGTTGCAAGAAAGAAATACAACAGCAGCAGAAATAGATTTACATGGTTTATTTCAACAGGAACGTGTGGGTTTGGGACAGCTACCTTGTGGTAAAGTTCATAAGCCGGCTTCGAATCTAGGTCGATCTCTCATAGTTGACGGTGGTTGATGCTCCCCTGCTGCTGATCACTCGGCCTGACTGTGACAGGTCTGTTCACTGGCCACCTGTTAACTGCCGTTGAACTTCCGTGTGACCCCTTTTATAGCGTTTTTTATGGCTTAACAGGCTCAAAAAACGAAGCGAGTATAATTAGAAGGGAAGCATTTTTATTGGACGAAAAATAGAGCACTTTAATTATTATTTTATTTTTCGACTGGAACTCGTGTGTCGGGAACATTTGTAAACGAAGATAATGGTCATTTTGTGACGGGGCTTTGTCCCGTTCACATCCGGCTCTCGCTCTTGAGTATTTGCCAGTAAGTCAGCCGAGATATGTCTTAATTTATTTTATAACAACACCTAAGGAAGGAATTGTTAAATATCTCTTCTTATATGTTAGTGAAGACTGGACAATTTTTTTTGGAGACAGATACTGAGACTACGATGAACTGAACATGCAGAGGTTTTAGCGGAAATGGGAGACTAAAAGGACATTTATGCTTAAAATCAGAGACTTCTGGGATACATGATGCAGAAAGAAGGCTTGGAGAATTCAACACTTACTGGATAGAGTGAAAGAGTTTGAGGAAGAGGGAAACATGTAGCTTAACAAGTTTTGGTGAATGGATGACAGCAGGGGGCAAAGATTGTAAAGAATTAAATATTGCTTAGAGCTGCACAAAAAAAAAACATTTTGACTTGCATTACATTTATTTTTGTCTCGGATGTTACCTAAATTTTACCTAAAAAGAAAAATAATGTCCATGCCTGATGATGATAGAATGACCTATCGAAAGTATTAGCATATTTATGGAACTTATGAAACATCTAAAAACAAGGATTGTGTCATTCAACGTGTGGTTAATCGGTTAATACTTTTATATTTGTTAGCAAAGTGAATTCGCTATTTATAACATTAACCTTAATAATTTTCTTTGTATGATTGCTTCATTGTATATATATATATATATATATATATATATATATATATTTTAGTACCAGAGTTAAGGAAATGTCCTTATTTTTAAATAATAAAAAATGAAATCCAAAGAATTATCTGCAATGTTATTGTCCCTGACCTGGCATCTTGGCTTTAGTCACTTTGCCCACTGCTGCTGTAATGTAGTCTCCCTGTGACTTTTCTGTAAATATTTTCATGGTAATTTTTTTCTGAGGAATTTCCCCTTTTGGTATCTCAACTTTACAAATTTAAGTCCATTACTAAATTGGTGGTAAAGTATTATCATTTTATAATTGAAATGTTCAGATGTAACCGAAAGTTCTATGCTAACAGTTTCTTCTCTCACACTTTTTGCTTGTGGAAATCTTTTCCCATCTTCTTTCCAGTCAACTTTGATCATAAAAATTTTAAATGTGATATCAAGTGTTATTTTCTGTATTCTTAATCCATGTTCTTTCATTGCTCACTCTCCTTAAAAAATGTTTCTTTGATAGGAAGTTTTCCCAGTTGGAATGAACAAACCCAAGTCTCAAAATAAATGTTTAACAGCTTTTATTCATGGTTGAAAGAAACTGCAAAATAGTGTTACTTTGCAGGAAAAAGAGTTGGTTTTCTAGTTAACAAAGTTATTCCCTTGAAAGATGTTTTGTAGAGAGATTTCTTATCTTGCTCACATGAGGAGCAAGAAATCTGAGTTTCAAACTGTTTGGACTTGTTTCATGCCTTCTGCAGCAAGGGTTGTGATTAGTTTCTTTGGGTAGATGTCTTGAAGGAAGATTTCTCCACTTGTTCCCACAATGAATGAGAAATCTAATGTCAAGCTGCTAAGACTAGCAACGTGCCTTCTACACCAATGGTTGCAAGTAGCACTGGACTGGACCTTGACAGTAGCGGCCACTGTAAAGGAAGATGGAAAAGAAACTGAATAAGGATTGGTCAGCATTTTTATGAGTTCTGGGACTTCCATTTGTACTCTGCTGATTAAATCGGTGGAAGACCCCACATGCCACAATAGCCAATAGGATAGCTAAACTTCTTTCCTAGATAATAATCCTTTACATGTTAGTGGTTTCATTGCCTTGTTTGGGGTGAAATGATAAAAGCAAAAAAAATATTTATCGTTAATTAGAGTTCCTGCTATATTCTCTTTTCTCTACTCAATGTTTGTTTATTCATATCTTCTTTATCTATGGCAATTAAAGCTGCATCCAAATCATAACATTTCCATCTGGTTGTATAGATTCCAATAAAAACAAAAATAGGAAAATAAATTCCATTACCGATTTAACGTTAATTTATTTTATTTTGAATTTTTGGCTAGTTCAACATTTTCTCTGCAGTTCTTACCAAACAAAGAATCACAGACATGAAGTTTTCATCTTCTGTAATCAGTTAAAACGATTCCTAAATAGAATCCCACAAATATTTTCAGATAACACTCACAGAAATGTTGAAAATAAAAATTCTTCTGAACTGAATATATCCTGTTCTGCTGTTACTATTTACTAAACTTATTTTAGAAAATGTGGGTAGCATTTCCGTTATTGCCATGGATAATGGAATTGTACAGTTATGTTCAAATTCTGGCTTAGTTCAGTAAATTCACTTTTGTACAAATGCCTTAGGAAAAGGCATAAATCAATATTGTCACCTTCAACAAGTGGTTAAATAGCAAAGTAGACTGAGTTCTCTAGCCTTGGTTGACTACCAGTCTAAAGAATAGAGTAGAAGTGTATGAGTAAGGAGGTGGACATTTTGCCGTAAGGTTCACCCTGTACAAGGTCTGGGAGCCACTCATGGTAGAGGGTTACGTCAAGGTGTTGTTTATATGGAGGGAAGATAATGGTTAACTCTATACTTGAACAGATTAAGATTGTAGGGATTGAGGAAACATTCCTTGGGAGTCTGTTTCCACAGGGCAGTGGTTCATGAGAAGCTGTGTGAGTGGAACTTCTTGCTAATCGAATACAAAGGGAATGTGAGTGGTTTGCTATCATATAAGTGACAAGGCAGGTCTTATCCTTGAAGGTTAGTCGGGGAAGAACCAAGGAATGTAGTTTGTCTAAGTACTTTCCATGAGACTAGCAATAGAGCAGTAAAAGACTTGCCCCATCCTGCCTGTGAGAGAGAGGTTGGAGGGTGGAAAATAATTCAAGAACTCTTTTGGAACTTTATCAAGATTGGAAAGTGAAGACAAGGCAACTTCTGCCCAAATATGGCAACAGTACTCCATTTTCAGCCTGATCTGGCTCTTATAATGGTAGAGGATAGCATGAGGAGTCAGGTACTTACTGGAGCAGCACATGGAGCCAATCATTTTACCTCTGAGCCATTATCCATTATACCACCCGTACATCCAAGCTTACAGCGCATGGTATTGCCAAACAGTTACCCAACTAGGTACTAACTAGGCTCAATGTTGCTTAACTTCAGTAATCAGATGGGACCTGGTGTTTTTAATGTGATATGTGTGTAAGCTGGAACTACTCAAAATGCAAAATATGAATTATAGATATTGAAATCAAGCAAGTAGGGAAATGTAAATATATGGGAAGATTTTTCACAGAGGAAAGAAAATGACACTAAAATTTGAAGGCACGATGAAATAATTAAAGATGCCTTCTAAAAGCTAAGCAAAGTATGAAGAAACAGAAAAATTGCATTAGAAACAAAGAAAAGAGTATTAAATAGTTATGTGCAGAACCAAGGAATGTAGTTTGTCTATATTTCTGAGATGAGGTATTATGTACACTATTTACATTATTCGGACTATTGTCCTCATCTTCGTCGCCATATTTATTAAAATGTTTCAGCTGTTGTATGCTCTGCCCTTCTTCAGGTGGTTGGAATGTCAAACTGAACCCTTTATTTCACTCACTGGGGTAGACTGTTATAGTTCGAGGATACATGGCACAGTGGATAAAGGTGTTGGTTAGATCCAGTGACAGGACCCAAAGAGTGTGAGTTCAATACCCAGTTAAGGCAGTGGAGAATTTAGAGAGGGGAATTAACAAGAGATAACTGAAAACTGACATCCATTTAACATGGCACATGGAACTAAAACGGTCTACCCCAGTGAGAGAAATAAAGGGTTCAGTTCAACACTTCAACCACCTGAAGAAGACTGGGGCATACAATGGCCAAAACATTGTAATAAATATGGCAACAAAGATGAGGACAATAGTCCAAATAATGTAAATAATACCTCATCTCAGAAATATAGACATATATATATATATATATATATATATATATATATATATATATTAATAGAGTAGTAATAGAGCAGTAAAAGACATGCCACACCTCACCTGTGGGAGAGTGGTTGGAGAGTGGTAGATAGTTCTTCTCCAACCAGGAATCATTGAAACACATCACATTAGAGGGGGAAGAGGAAGCAGAAAAAGAATAATGCAAATAACATTGTGCATCATATATTTTTTCTTTTCTTTTACAACTCTGAAAAACAAAAAATCTGTATGAAAGATTATAATGTCTTTCTTTTTACTTTTTATTCCTTTTCTTTCTCCCTGCCAGTCCATTTTCTGTGTGTAAATGGTTTAATGAATAGTGACTCGGAATGAAAAATTGGTGAGCTAATTTTGAATTCCATTCAAGTTTGTTACATTCACTTACACCAGTGGTTCTCAAACATTTTGAAGTTAGGGCACATTTGAAATCCTATCAATAAGATAATGAAAAAAATATAAAATGAAACATACCTTAAGTTTATTCATTCTTCTGCTTGAGAAACATGGGCCTGATGATTCTTAGTGATTTCTCCAATGTTTGGGCGTCTATTTGATAGACAAACTCTCATTTCCTCATCAATACATTGAAGAGTTTCTCTCTTTTTGCACTTAATTGTGGTGAGAGCAGAAAAGCCTAATTCATATAAATATGATGTGAACTGTAGTAAAATGGTCAAAGTTGTTTTAGATATTGACACATTCTTCTTTGATAGAAATCCAAAAAGCTTTAAGAGACAATTCATTATGTTACCAAAATAGTCAGCTTTCAGTTTGTTTTATAGGTTTAAGTCAGTGGTTTTCAAACTTTTTGAAATCAGGGCACACTTGAAATCCTACCACTATAAACAAATTTTCAGAAAAACATGGCAGAAAAGGAATAATGCAATAAAAAAAAAAAATAAAGTATACCTCAAGTTTATTCTTTCTTGTGTTTATGAGAAACATGAGCTTTATGAGTCTTAGAGATTTCTTCAATGTTTGGACATATATTTGATAGGCAAACTTTCATTTCTTCGTCAATACATTGAAGAGTTCCTCTCTTTTTGCACTGAATTGTGGTGTAAGCAGAAAAGCCTCATTTGCATTAATATGAATGAAACTGGTATCTCAATATAATAAAGTAAATATATTTATTTCTTATATCTGGACACACGTTTCTCTGGAATGCCATGGAAAACCCATACATTTTCCAGGGGCGTGCTACTGCACCCAGGCACACCATTTGAGAACCACTGACTTACACAAATATACTATTGTAGAAAGTTATGAATCCTTCCTCCACCTCCAACTTATAGGTTAAATAGTAAGACTTTTATCTGGAAAAATCAATGTTATTCTCAAATAATCATTAATACAACTTCTTCCACATATGTAAATTTATGATAGATAGATCTGAGCCAGTGTCAAGTTGCATTTTTATATTTTTATTACTTGTTTCGATGGTAACAAATTTTCTGGTTATTCCATCTTTTACCTCGTTGGACTTTAATTTTTGATTTTAATTTTTTAATTTTAATTTTCTTATTTTATTTTCTTTATTTTTTGACCTGCAATGCGTGCTTTTATGACCCACTATTTTACAGTTGAAACATTTTTTATTCCTAACATCGCAATATCTGTACCAGTGAAGTTCACCGCAAGCAAAACATGGCTTCGGGAGGTTTTGTTTATTTTTCTCTGGTATTTCACAAATTTAGAATTCTTTTTTGTACACTGACTTTCTTCTTTGTAGCGTATTTTCCTTACATGCGAAACACCAGATTGTTCGATCTTTTTTGAATCTTTCTTTACACTAACATATCTTGTGCAGTCTTCTGCCAATTTCTGTACTGTAATACTTGGATCACTTTCCAATTTTGCCAGTACTAATTTTCTCAACACTGCGTCTCTTTCTGATACCAGCCCCTGAACAAACACCAAGCACTTAAAATTGTCTGTGCTTAATTCTGCCAGCTTGAATTCTTCACAATGCTTATTCACATTGGCTGCATACGTTATATAGTCTTGTTTGTCATCTTTCATCAGATTCAAACATTTCCACCTCTTGTGAAACAGATGTCTTTTTACTAAATAATTCACTTAATATATTTACCACCTTGGTAAATGTCAACTCACTAGTTTTTTTGTTTTTTTTTTGGTAAAATGTAATTTACCAATTTATGCTCAGCAGTTCCTAATTTGCTTAAAAGAAGCCTAACCTTCTTTCCTTCAGACCACAAGTGGCAGTCCTCATTATACACGTCCGTATATTTTTTATAATACACCTCAAAAGTTATCTCTTCATCTGGACTGTACGTGAATATTACAATTGAATTCCATATTGTATTCTCTGGGAAAGAATCATTTTGTAGATTTTTCTCTTTCCTCTTCTCAGTTATTTCCAGAATTTTGTTTTGAAACTCCCTATGCATCTGTTCCATTTTTGTTGGAAATGCATTTGTCTATTAAATGTTTCCTCCTGTAGTTGCACCTGGAATGTTTTTTTTTGCTCTAATATTGTCATCTGTTGTTCCGAGTGGAACTTAAAGAATTCCTGGAACATACTTTTGCATTCCTCCATCTTCACAAAAATTTACACAATGCCTAAATACTGTAGAGGGTGGGGGGGTCCTACAAATTTGCAATTCGTGACCTATTTGAACAAACTGTATTATCGGGGGGAAAAAAAATTTCTTTTCTCAGTTGAGAATATGACAGATTTTTTCATCACTAAGTTGACATCTTGGCTTGTGAAAAACTTTACCAAATTTTTTTTTTTTAATTGTGAATCCGAGATTTTATCGCCGAAGTTATTGTGGCAAGTGAATTTTTTCTTCCTCCTTATGAGTGCGAATCCTCATCACCAAAGTTGTTGTAAAGTTATTTCACAGTGGAGGCTTGTATTTGTACTAAATCAGTCCTAAAATAGGTTCGACATACAAAACATTAGGAACTTGATATAATAGGTATTACGCAGAGTAATCTTGTGGTCACTGACTACTTTCATATTCGACTGTCGACTACTGTCGTCCGACATTGACTGACCCTTGTTTCTATTACTACTCCTACTTATATTAGGTGGGAGAGTCTATTAACTATAGAATAGGTGTGATTCACCATAACAGTTCGCTACAATGTGCATAGCATGGTGGGTCTTATCCATGAAGGTTAGAATCGGTGAAGCCAAGGAATATAGTTCATCTGAGAAGTTTCCAGGAAAATAGTGATAGAGCAATGAGAGGTTTGCAATGTTTCATTTGAGAGAAAGTGGGTGTAGGGTGGAAAATAATTTGTCACCCACGTGGATGGGTAAGTGTTAATAACATTTTCTTAGCTTTTTTTTTTTCTCTTTCAAATAACCTTACTGGGTGAGCAATTAGTTAAGGAAGAAGAGTCTGATTAAGTGCTATTTAATCAGATTTCTTCTACATCTGCAATCGTGACAAGATGATTTCATTCATTATATATAGTACCAAACTTACCTTTATTATGCAAATTACTAATTGGAGATACCAAAATCAAGCAAGTAGAAATATTTAAATATCTAGAAAGATTTTTTTAACAGATCAGAAAAGATGACATCAAAATCTGAAGGTACATTGGAATAGCAAAAGATGCTTACTACAAGCTAAGAAAAGTATTAACAAACATGAAATTCTTGTTAAAAACAAATAAGAGTAATGAACTGTTATGTAATATCTGTCCTCATGTATTGACAGTAAATACCAGATAATCTCCTCTCAGATAAAGGCAACAAATGTCAGAGCCTGAAATAAGCAATTTCTGCCAAGGGATTATGTTTTACAAGAAAGATGACTGCAACAGATAAGCTTGGTGCAGGCAGAATTATTGCCTAGGATAATTTTAATCAAGCATATATGTAGGGTGTAAAAGACAGAAAATGAGACAGAATTAAAGCAAACAAAAATAAATTTGAAACTTTTTAGTGATGAATACAAAGATATTGATTATGCCGAGAAAATGAGAATATGGTAAGTTGATGATGAGGAAATCAGCATACAACTGCTTTGAATATACGCTCCTTTAGCGCTAGGGGGCGTCGTCAGTGATGTTCTAGAAAAGGATCATTGGACAGTTTCGGGTCTTTCAAACATCATACTGACCTCACCAAATCGACCCTTTCAGAGCTGATCAGACTCTGAAACGCCCTCTAAGAAAAATGCTTGTTTGTGCTGACTTTTATAAGAATACCCCGTAATCTCACATTTGATTGGAGAT